CTCTGGTATTCTCTGCTTTCAGCTAAGATCCATGTAACATCAGCTACAATATCTCTAGTACCACGACCCCTTCTAAACCCAGCCTGGACCTCTGGAATTGGGAAGACTCTGGAGAGAAACAACAATGTATATGAACTTTGTAGGCAAACAAATGTAAAATAAAAATTTATTTTTTAAAAATAAATCAAGGTACAGAGCAAATTGAGGCATGGAGGAAATAACATAAGAGGGTACAATTTAGGTAGACGAGGCATTCTCCGGTATTGAATGGAATTGTTAAATGTAAAAAAGATGTTTTACAGAGATAGATTATTAATTTACTTTCTTGTCATCCATTTTTTATTGACTATTCCATATGTTATTGCACTGAACTAGATTCCAGACAATAGCAAAAGAAACAAAATATACAAGATTTTAAACCAAATATATACTTGTAGGAAAGAATAGAGATTTATAGTAGGGAATGACAAGAAGAATATCTATTTGTGTTTTATTGATTATGCAAAGGCATCTGACTGTGTGGATCCTAATAATCTCTTGTTAACATTGGGGGGAAATGGGAATCCCAGACCATTTAATTATGCTCATATGAAACTTATTTCTTGACTAAAATGCTGTTGTTGTAACAGAGCAAGAGAACACTGCAAAGTTTAAAATCAAGGAGAATGTCAGGGCTGCATCCTTTCTCCATACCTACTCAATCTCTATGCTGAGCAAATCATTCGAGAAGCTGAACTCTATAAAGGATGTGGCACCAGGATAGAAGGAAAACTGATCAATAACTTGCTTTATATAGATGACACAACCTTACTTAATGAAAATCAAATATGATAGCCTTTAATATGGATTACATGTAAACATCAGGAAGATAAAAATCCTCACCAGGTCAATAAGGAACATCATATAATAGATAGAGAAAACATGGAATTGTCAATTATTTCAGCTTCCTGGGATCCACAGTTAGCATATTTGGCTCCAGAAGTCAAAAGATATGTTGCAATGGAGAGATCTGCTGTCAGAAAACTCACCAAAGTATTGAAGAGCAATAATGTCAGTTTAAAGACTAAGGTGCACCTGATTCAGGCCATAGTGTTTTCAATCACTTGCTGTGCCTCTGAAAGCTGGACAGTGAATAGTATGACAAGAAAAGAACCAATGCCATTTAATTGTGGTATAGCAGAAGAGTGCTGAATATTCTATGATTGCTAAAAGAATAAACAGCTAATCTTAGAAAAAAAATGTGGCTAAAGTGCTCGCTCCTTGGAGGCAAGGATGGTGAAACTTTATCTTGCATACTTTGGGCATGTTGTTAGGAGGGCTTTTCCTTAGGAGGCAACATTATTCTTGCAATGGTGGAGAGTCATCCAAAGAGAGAAAGATTCTCAATGAGCTGGAATGATATAATAAATGCAGCAATGGGCTTGAGTATGTCAAAGATGATGAAGATGACATAGGATAGGATAGGGTTTAGAATCGTACTTGACTCCATGGCACATAACAACAATATATCTGTATCATGATCCATATAGAAACAAATGTGATTTATACACATATAAATCATGATCAGTATTCAAAATATACTTTTTACAGGATGAAAATCTTCAGGCTTGTTATTTAGGGATCCTTTCAAAGACAGTATTATATGAAAATGACATTTGAACAGAAATTCACACAAAAAAAGAGTAGTTAGGAATGGTAATTGAGAAAAGAACAATACAAATATTTGGAAGTTAGATATTTCTTTTGTTTTCTTGATTTGGGGGGTTTGTTTTTGTTTTTGTTTTTTAGTTTAAATGCATTTTCTTTTTAGACAAACTATGAAATTGTTTTCCTTTTAAAAAATAATGCCTCTGCTCCGAACAATTCAAGGTCAAAATTAAATGAAGAGCTCAAGATAGTATCAGTCCCATTTGTCTAAATTTTGGTATGTTGATGAAAAGCAGTCAAATAGAATGACAGATGATAGATCCAAATAAATGCCAAATTTGTTAACATTTCTCCATTTCTAAACCATTCTTAAAGAAAATCATGTATGAATTCACGTCATCCTCATGGTAGTTCAGCAGAGCAATCATGCCATCTGGATTCATGTTTTCACCAATAAAGAACTGGTAGGTTTTTAATATTAGCAAAGATGTGCTTGTTCTGTTCTGCAGTCCCTGACATAAAAGATTTTGCTTTTTCTGGTTTCTGTTCTTCAAGTTTGCCTTTGATTGATTTCATATAGTCCTTGATGTACTTCTTATAGGCGTCTTTTGTGGAGCTGATTTCCTGCAAATGATGGTTCATGCCAATGTCAACGCCAGTGAGGACTAGTTTCAATTCCTTCACAAATCAGTGCCTTCAGACAAGGTGATTCAATCAATGAGCAAGCCATCAATGTTACCCTCTATCCTACTGACCATCTTTCCTTCCACCTCCAGGCACAGTACATCCACAATCTCTCAGATTTTGTAGATGTTGCAGAACAACTCATCATGGCTAATGAGGTCCTGGTAAAGGACCATTATGGTGGAGGGGACGCCAACACCAGCTGAGCCGGAGCCAGAGCTCTGTGCAAGCATGGTGCAGCCGGAAAGGCTCAGGGGAGAACACCAGATAGGGCTTAATAAAGTAAGAACTGAGGAGTACTGTGAAAATTTTCACCCTGGGAAAAGTGAGCTGAGAAAGGAGAGGTGAAAGTCAATGTTAGTAATAAAGGCAGGAAGAATCACGAAGAATTTTGTTGAAGCTTAAAAACTGCAATAAGGACTTTGAATTTTATGTTTAGTAAGAAATCTTTGATGGTTTTTAGAGAAGGCCATATTCAACTTAGATTTAAAACGTATCACTTTGGCTATACGTGCAAAAGCTATTTTAGAATTGAATAAGAGTAGAAGCAAGGAAAAGTTTTCACAACAACCTACATTATGAAAATGACACAACTTGCTAGTGGAAACTGAGGAGGACTTGAAGCATTTGCTTCAGGAAAGAAAAAAAAAAAACAAAACAAACCTGCAGCCATCAATATGGATTGCATCTCAAAATTAAGAAAACAAATATTTTCACCATTGGGTCAATAGACACTATCATCATAGATGCAAAAAAAGATTGAAGTTGTTAATGGTTTCATCTTGCTTGAGTCCACAATCGGCACCAGTAGTCATGAAATCAAAATACTAATTCCATTAGGGAAATCTGTTGTCAAGGATTCTTTGCAGTGCGCTAAAGAGCAACAGTGTTCATTTACAGGCTAAGGTGTGCCTGATGCAGACTGAGATCTTCTTAATTACTTGCTATGCATCTGAGTACTAGACAATGAATAAGGATGGTGGGAGAAGAATCAGTGCCTTTGAGTTGTGATGCTGGAGAAGAGTATTGAACATACCGTGGAGTACTAAAAGAACAAATAGGTCTGTCCTGGAGAGGGTGAAACCATTTTACTCTTTGGAGACAAGGATTTTGAAATCTTTTCTCACGTACTTTGGGCATAGTGTCAGAAGGGATCAGTGATTAGAGAAGGACATCATGCTTGGGAAAGTAGAGCATCAGTGCACAAGAGAAAGACCCTGTATGAGATAGGTTGTTACAGTGACTGTGGCTATGAGGTCACATGTGTCTGAGACAATGAGATTGGCTCAATGTGGGTTCAGAGCTATTGTTCATAGTGTTGTCATGAGTCATAGATTGATGGCACATAACAACAAAAACAGAAGCAAGGAGATCAAGCAGAGTATTATTGAATTCATCTACTTCAGAGGTACTAGTGATTTATACCAGAGTAGTGACATTCATCCTTAGAAGTCAGAATCAACTCAATTTCATTGGACTCTAATAACATTGAAGAGAAAGAAAATGAAATACATTTAAGAAGAATATATTGAGGGAATACTGATATATGTTAACAATAAACAAAAAATGAGTGTGGATGAAGTGGAAATAGAACTGGTAATTTATTTAAAATGTTCTAGGCCAAGCACAAGAAAGTGAAACCACCAACCTTGCAGGGGCTGGAAATATGAAGATTTCGGTTTTGACATGTTTAAAATTCATAGGAGACGTCCAAGTTGGATTGTTTGGGAAGTGATTTGAAATACAAATTTAAAGTTAAGTTGAGAGTCATGTACATTAAAAAGGTGTTATTGTATTATGCTGCAGTAGGTGTCATGGAGTGGACTCTGACTCAAAGCCACTCTGTTTTGGCCTATTTGGCACCATCCTCACAATCTGTAATAAAGCTCATTGCTGTAGTTCACTGCCTGAACATGACATGTTCTTCTCTTTTTCTCTTTGTGGTTTAAGCATAGTATTTAGAATCATAATAACTGAATATGTAGAGAGAGTGTGCTACAAGGAAAAAAATCTGACAACGACTTGAAAGAGAATTAAGAGGGGAAAAAACCATGAAATGATTATATTGGAAAAGCTAAGACAAAGTATTTTAAGAAGCCGGTTTTATATGTCATAGATATGGCATATATGTTATGGATTTTTTTGAAAGGAGGATGATCATGGCCTAACACATTTGGCAACATTGAAATATTCTTGGCAAAAATATTACTTGAAAGGTCTACACTAAAATCAGATTGGAATGAATTGAAAATTGAATAGGAAGTGAAAAAGAGATAATAGATTGTGCCAATAGCATGTTGAGAAGTTTGATTGAAAAAGCGAGCAGAGAATTGAAGCTCTAGATGGATGTAAATAGTTGACCAAGAATGTGTGTATGTTCTTAAGAAAGAAGGTTTTAAGTGATTATTAAATATGGAAAGCACTGATCACTTGGAAAAGGAAAGCATAAAGATGTAGGAGACAGAAAAAACAGACATGCTTAAGAAGGTAAGAAGAAATGGCATCTAGGATGTGTTTGTGGGGGTGATTATTTAAGATTAGGCCCTAAGTACACAGGACTTTATGAAGATAACATTAAAGTAGGGGAGGGGTTTTGATAAAAAGTCAGTGGTGAGTGGGACTAGCTTTTCCCCCTTTGCGGAAGACGGTCCTCTTGATTGCCTTAATGAGCTCCTTGTTACGAAGACTATAGATGATTGGGTTGGCCAATGGTGTTAGTACGGAGTAGACAACAGCAAGTGTCCGGTCAAGGGTTAAAGAATAGCTCTTCTTTAGCCTCACGTACATGAAAATGATGCTTCCGAAGAAAATGAGGACCACAATGAGATGTGAGGCACATGTGGAAAAGGCCTTTTTTCTTCCTGCTGCTGTTTTTATCTTCAGCACAGCTTCAATGATTCTCCCATAAGAAACCATAATAAAGAGGAAGGTGACAAGGATAATGAAGGCATTGATGGAAAAATCCACCAGGACATTAATGGATGTGTCCTTGCAGGCCAGGGACAGCAAAGGTGGAAAGTCGCAGAAAATGTGTGGGATTTCATTGTCGGCACAGAAAGGGAGCTGAGAGACCAGAATGACCTCTGAAATGGGGCATAGGAAGCCACAAGTCCAACAACCAGCAGCCATCTTGGCACAAAGTGTTGAGGTCATAATTGCAGGATAGTGGAGGGGCCGACAAATGGCTAGGTATCTATCATAGGACATGGCTGTCAGTAGATAGCACTCAGAGGCCCCTAGAGAGTGGAAGAAGTACGTCTGAAGGAGGCATCCAGCAAAAGAGATGGTCTTTTTCTCACTGAGAAGATTGATTAGCATCTTGGGGATGGTCGTGGCTGTATACCACAGCTCCAAGAAGGAGAGAACACTGACAAACTGGTACATGGGTGTGTGCAGAGCGGCATCCAGTCGGATTACTAAGAAGATGAGAAGGTTGCCACAAATGGTGAACAAATATGCCAACAGCAGCAGGACAAAGAGCCATCCTTTGACATGCCCCACATTGGGAAAGCCAAGGAGCACAAATTCAGCCAGGCTTGAGTGGTTGTATTGCTCCATGAGATCTTGAGTGGGAAAGGAAAAGAAAGGAAACAGAGCTCAGGCAATTGCCAAATCAAACTCAAAACTCCTTTCTCTGAATATAATTTAATTATGACTAGGACTGCTATTGCTATTATGACCCTAAAACTGCAATTTAAAAAAAAAAAAACAACACCAAAAACACAACACAACAAAATACAACACCACCCTTTGATTGAGAACTGACTCATATATGATGTTTCATTGGGTTTCTGAGGCTATAAATTAATTGAGAGGAGATTGTCCACCTTTCTCCCTCAAAGCTGTTGGTGGATTCCAACCACCGGAAACATGACCCTTGAGTTAGTAGCACAGACTTCCTATGGGCTTCGCCATCAGAAATCTAGATAGATAGATGATAGATAGATAGATAGATAGATAGATAACAGAGAGATAGAGAGATGATAGATAATAGAAAGATAGATACATATACACATGCATACATAAATACTAACTTATATTTATAATTCCTACCAATCAAACATTCTAGAGGTATCTTTAGTTTTCACACATCTAGTGGACTAAGACTTATTGAATTACCTGTTTTATAGATAACAAGAATGGTGATATTGTGACATTTTTCTACTTCTTATAGGTACTAGATTTCAGAAACATTTTTAAATTTTAACTTTACTTGTTCAATGCTTTTATCTTTATACTGTATGGTCTTCCTTAGACATTCTATCCTTCCTCCCAAGGCCATAATGTCCTTCAGTTATATATCTACAGATAAATTTTATTTATAAAATTAGCATAGTAGGGTTTTTTTTTTCATACTCACCTCAATAAACATTTGTCTCAGGCTTGGAATTAAAAAACAAAACAAAAACCCAACAAAACCAGTTTGTGTAAAATCAATTCTGGCTCATGCTGACCTCATATGGAGGAATGGTGCTCCATAGAATTTTGAAGACTAGATTTTTGGGGTAGCTTCACTTTAAGGTTCAACTGAATTGTCAGTCTTCAATTTATAGTTGGTTGTTATATGGGATTCCCCCCCCTTTCACTGCCTGTAGACAGTATGTCAGTCATAAAGGGAAAAAAATTTCAACAAAGTATAATCTGTGTCACCAAAACACATTTAACTTCGTAAGGGAGTCTGGCCCATCAACTGGTCACTTCAATATAGTCTGCTAAGTACAAGAGACTAATTTTTCAAGTCAGGATGACAGTCCAGAGATAAGTCCTTAAGTAGAATTTTTCTAGGAGGAGAAGAAACTAGGTAGGGTTAAAAAAAGGAAACAAGCATTTCAGGCAGAAAAAGCACATATGTTTGATCACTAACGAGGCAGAGATATGAAAACGCATGGGGAGGGGAGTTGGGCAGGGAGTGAAGTGCAACAATGACCAAGGTCTCTGTAAACTTTCATTAAAAAGAAAAGAAAATGCGTAAACCCCTGGTGCATGAAGCGACAAGGTAAGCTTACTAAATTTTTTGTTATTTTATTTCAGAAGATAGAGCACCACTGAAAACTGCTAGATAGAGGAGTAACCGAATCTGATGCACATTTCTAAAATATCACTGAAATGTAACTATTCTGACTTCAAACCTAGACATAGAGGTATGACTTTGTCCCGTGGGAGTTACTGACAGATAGCAAGATTAGTGGGATGATTAATGCATCTGCTGAGAGCATGCAGATTAAAAAATAAACATGATTAAGTGGCAATAAGCATAAATCTGACATATTCAGATAATCATATAGAAGAATATATAGCTTGCCTGGTGAAATAAAAGCAAAGCAAAACATATGCAAGTATAAAATAAAACAACAAAATAAAATTAAAAGCAACAAAAATAAAAACTTGAGTCAAATGCATCATAAGGATAAAGAAAGTCAGATTATATCCTGAAGGTCACCCTGCATTTGGCATGAGCTGTTTAAGTTTGCCTTTTGCTGTACATGGGGTCACTGAGTCAGAGCAGACTCCAGGGCACTTAACAAAAACAACATTGGCAAACTGCAAGTTCCCCACTTATTTTTCTAGTCTTAACACTTGGTATAAAGGTCATAACATTAAAGGAGTTCAGGAAGAAATCAATTATTTAATCAAGTGAATTAATTTAAAGAACTAATCTATCTATATCTATAACTATATCTATGTATCTATCATCTATCTATCTATCTATCTATCTATCTATCTATCTATCTATCTCCTAATACTACAATCCTTGAGGGAAAGATTACATACTTGTAAAAGTAGAGGGTCAGTGAAAGATAGGAAGACCTTCAACAAGATGAATTGACGCAATAACTACAATAATGAATTGACCATAGAGGAGATTGGCTGATGGCATAGGATAGGGCGAGATTTCGATCTGTTGTTCATAGCATTGCTAGGAGTCATAGTAGATTTGACAGCACCTAACAACTCACCCAATTCTGAACATTGTCCCACACCCAAGTGCTCTGAAGTATAGGTAAACTTTGAGCTTACTATTTTAAAAATGGTAAATTTGTGTTATTTTCCCCCCTGAACACTAAGTAAGGAACATAATCTCAAGGGTTTTATCAGTCTTTATCACCCTGTCAGCATGGTCATTTTTGTAATTTTAGGTTTTGTTGCACAGTGTTTTCTCTCTTTATCAATAGCTCATCATTTTTAAAAATAATAAATTAGGACTCTTTAATCCATTGTATTTGTTTATTTCTGGCATCTTTGCCCTTCCTACTCATTTGCTTCTGGTTTCCCTTCTTTTCTCTTTTCTTCACCATATAATTGCTTCTCATACTCTAAAACCCTGTCAAATGTCAACTTTTTACTCAAACATTTCTTCACTCTTCTACAAAATTTGTTTTCCTTTCATCCACGGATTTCCTTCATACATGTCCTTATAATGTGTACAGTTTCAATTTTGCATAATATACCACCTCTGTGATGAATCTATCCTTCCCCCCAAAAGATAAGCTCTTAGAGTAAATGCGTTACATTACTATTGTATATCACCCTATCAAGTTTTAACACAATGAAATAGTGTACATGCTTGATAAATGTTGTTGAATGCAATTTAATTTTTCCTATCCTGTATTTCATTTACATTTAATTGCACCTAAACACATTCTTATTTTTCTCTTAGCTTCTTAAGTTCAATACATAAAAATTAAATTTATCTCAAAATTAAATTCCTCCTATTATTACCTCCTCTAATCCTGTTAAAAGATTCATTTCTCCCACTTGCACAGAGAAATTCAATGCAAGAATTCAATCGTTTCTTTGCTCATCTTTGGTGTGCAAAGTGTACCATTGATGATACTTCCTCCTTCCACACATCAGCTTTTCTGCAGTCAACTATATATACACGCTGAGTAAGATTGTGCAAACAGAATTATAAGGTAAATCTCCAGACCCTACATTTTAGCCTCATGAGATTCAAGAACGTAAGTGAAATCTGTAGGTGAAATCTTTTAAAGTGAACCATTTCCCGTGAGAATGAAATGCATCATCAGATTTTCTCGGACACAGTTCCTCTTGCATGAGGGATGTTGTCAGAAAGCTCTGCTTTCTGCTATCCATCCATCCAGCACAGGGTTGATCTTTGGTACCATATAGAGCAATTTTTGTTTCTCGGGGGGAAAGAGATGCTTCCTCAAAGCAGAGGGTAAACAATCTCTTGGTTGTAGAATGAGTTTAAGTATTTAAGAAAAGGAATGTATAAAATGTAATTTTGAAAGATTCTTTCAACTCTAATAACTTACGGTTTTCAAAATCGGATTTTCCATACCAGTAATTGAAGTAATCTTTCCACTAAACCAACCCTCTAATTTAAAAATAATACCTGCTTTAAAATTCCTAGTTATTGTTCTCACCTCTTGGCTCAGTATTACTATTAGCATAATCCTCCGATAACCTACCAACCACTGGTCATCGCTCAATGTTTGCTTTCCTCTTGCCTATCTCAATGCATCTGTGAAAGACTTAAGGGAGAATCCTCCTCTTAGTAAATCCTATCCCTATATGGCAGATTCCCCAGAGCAAATTCTGACAGTTTCAGGCCACAGGAGGCTTAGACAAGGGAGAGACACAAGCTTGAGTTAATGTCATTGTTAGATTAGGCTCTTGGGAAAGTAGATGGAGACAGGCCAAAATTGTCTTCTCCCAGTTGGGATCAAAGCAGCCTTTCCTGAAACACTTGCTAGCTAATCACTTGGAATTTGGAGTCTAATAAATTTTATTTCACTTTCTAACTCCAATAAAGCACCAATTTAGAAAGTAAAACTTATCCCTCTAAGTCACTGAATATATACTAAGATGATCATCATTATCACTCTATGAATCTCATATTACTCATTTTATATATGAGATAAATGAGGCACAAATAGTTTAACTATAAATCGGAGCACTTTCCTTACAAAGCATATGCTCATCATTTTCTAAACTCCATTGAATTCAGTGTTCATAATGTTTATTAAGTGATAAGGAGTTTATATGACAGAGTAGAATGATCCCAACCAAGGTTACATAGTCACATAGTCATAAAACCGTGCCTATCACAAGGACTATGTTCTTAACCACCATTTAACAACTTTGTTTTCTTCTTGTTATGTGCTGTCAAGTTGGCAACAAGTCATTGCCATTTTATGAACAATGGGTCTAAAATTTGCATTATTATGTGCCATCTTCACCATCTCTGACATACTTGAGCTCATTACTATGGTCATTGTGTCAGTCCATCTTGTCAAAGGTCTTCCTCTCTTACACTGACACTCCATTATTATATCCTTCTCCAAACACTTGCTGCTTCTAACATCATGCCCAAAGTATAGAAGAAGTTTTACCATTGCTGCTTCAAGGAGAACTGCGGTTCTACTTTTTCCAAAACAGATCTCTTTGTTCTCTTGATAGCTTATAGAATATTCAGGACTCTTCTCCAACATCAAAACTCAAAGGCATTGTTTCTTCTTCTGTTGTCATTAGTTACTGTCCAATTTTCCAACTCATAACAAGCAAATGAGAAGACCATGTCTTGGATCAGACAC